AGGACTGCTTCTCTCCCAGGGAACTTCCTGTCGTGCTCTCAGCAGTCTAACAGCTGAACCTGAGCTTTCTCAACTCCCTCTAGTGGCTAATGCAGTTAACATTTTAACTGCAGCCTTGACAACCACAGATTTTTATCTTATTCACGTGAAAATATATTCAGTTTGGTAATTGGATACCACTCCTGCTAAACAGTTTAACCAGGACCACAGGGTAGAAGAATAATTGGTTTCATCAGTAAACCATGTAGTAGAATTTTATAATATGCCATGTAGAGCTTGCCTCTTTGGAAATGCTTAAAAAAAATCTAAGAAAGAGGATGACCAGTATCACAGTGTACAGGGCAAAAATTTGAAATATTCTGTGGGAAAAAATAGTATGATAATTGGGAAATAATAGGGTAAAGGTAGAAGAGATGTGTGTGAGAAAATAAAATACACACATGTGTGAATAGCACATAAAGTAGTGAGTGAAATCCACATACGTGTAAGTGAGCATATACGGTAATAGCATTTCCAAGCTTATAGGAACCATAATAGCTAAATATTTCACCATATGTAATTATCTTTTATTTTTGTCTTCCTTTTTTTTTTCTTTCTTTTTTTTTTTGAGACAGAGTCTCATTTTGTCACCCTTGGTAGTATGCTATGGCATCATAGCTCACAGCAACTTTAAACTCTTGGGCTCAAGCAATCCTATTGCCTCAGCTTCCCAAGTAGCTGGGACTACAGGTGCCCCCTACCCCACCTCTAAAAACATTTAGAGGTGAGGTCTCACTCTGGATCAGGCTGGTCTCTAACTCCTGAGTTCAAGCAATCCACTCATCTTGGCCTTCCAGACTGCTAGGGTTATAGGCGTGAGCCACTGTGCCCAGCCTTTTATTTATTTAATAGGAAAAGTTTGATACAACTATATTAACCTTGAGATAAGGTTCTCATTGTGAGCATGAGTTCTCAATGGAATTGTGTGTCCAGTTATACTAAGAAGTGTTCGTAATAGGATTATAGGACA